AATTTTTTTTGTAAAAGTAGTTTTACTCGAACTTAGTGTTTTCGGTTTTTTTTTTGGGTAATGGCCGATTTAAGAGATCAGCATGCGGCTGTGAAATTTTGTTTTCTGCTTGGGAAAAATGTCGCAGAAATTGCTCTGATGTTGAACACAGCTTACAAGGACAGCACTATGGGAAAAACTTAAATGTATGAGTGGTTTTCTTGTTTCAAAAAAGGTGAAATGTCTATTGATGAAAAAGCTCATGCTGGATGTCTGTCAACTTCCCAAATGGACAGAAATGTCACTCGTTTCACCAGGTCAGAGTGTTAATCAAAGCTTTCTATTTAAAGGTTCTGTAAAAATTGCTTAACAGTGTGCAACCAAAAAAGGCCAGATTTGGGGGGGGGGCTGGTTTTACCCCCACGACAATGCACCTGCTCTTTCAGCCATCAGCAGTGCTCCAGTTTTTGTCCCGCACACCCGCCTCACCTGACCTCGCTCCGTGTGACTTCTTTTTGTTTTGGAGAATGCAGAGGCACATGAAAGGACAGCAATTTGACAACAGAAGAAGTGAAGGGAAAAAACGAGGGAGGTACTGTCAGCCATCCAAACAGATGAGTTTGAAAAATGTTTCCAAGAATGGAATCACAGATTTGACAAATGTGTAATGGAGAGTACTTTGAAGGTGATAAGGTTGTTTTGTAAAAAAAAAACATAGCTTTTAGGGGGGGTGGATTCCGCTTTTGGGGGGATACCCCCTTATATACCAAATTTTCATTTTGCTTTTCAGTGAACTAAAGACAACAAAGGTAGTGGTTTTTCTTTGTCTTGTTTTTCTCATTTCATTTTAGTATTTTTATGAATGCAGTTCCCTTTTTTGATGTTTTGTGTATGTGTGTGTGTGTTTGGGAATGACACTGTTCCCTTGTTTGTTGCTTTAGCTTTAGAGTCATAATGTAGGGCACGTATTCTACATAATCGTTCACCAGTGCTGCTCACCCTATAATTTAATTCATCAAAATTAAAATTATATGTTTTTTAAGTGTTACTTGGGTTTCTGCTTCCCAATTCAGCAAGAATTTTTTAAAGAATTTTTTTTCACTCCATCTTAACTTTTCTTAGTGTTTTATTGTGAATTGAGTGAAGGTTTACACAGGAAATCAATTTTTAATCCAGCAATTCATGCACATTTTGTTACATATCATTGATTGCAACACCCACCGTATAACATCACTTCCTCCCTCTGTTTCCTGTTTCCATTTCACCTTTCCTAACCCTTCCTCCCTTCTGAACTTCGTACTTGGACAAATGCTAATCCCTGCTGCTTAATTATTCTGAAGAGTGCATACTTCACTAGTGTTGTAGTTCACTTCATAGACATAAGTATTATTTGCCTAAAAACTGAGTCTTAGGGTTCCATGCAGTTCCAGGCCTGAAGGGAGACTAGGGGCCATAGTCACAGGGATTCCACCAGTCTTTGACCAGTAAGCCTGGTCTTTTTATGAGGTTGAATGTATTCTGCTTTTCTCCCCCCACTCTATCCAGGATCATATTAGAATTAGATCATATTCTAATAGTATTCCTTTCAGAGAAATTGGTGGTAGTAACGGCACCATTTATATTTTCTGATCCCAGGACTGTAGAGGCTGGGCTTCAAATGGTCTATTAGTCCACTGGACTTAATTTTTTCCACACGTCTTCAATTATCTTTACTCCACACAGGGAGAAACTGAGTTGCCCCTTAAATGCCTGTTCAAAGCTTTTAAGATCCCAATCACAGCTCGCCAAAGTAGGGTGTAAAATATATTATACTAGCTGACCTTGGTATCCCCTGATGCTATGTCCTGAGCCTAGGGATTCATGTCCTCAAAGTGTTTGGTTTTGGCTAAGGCATTTTCATACCTTTACTCCCTGTATGCTCTATTGTATTCATGGATATATTTGCAGCAAAGATCAACATGTAGAAATATAATTTTGTCAGACTTTTAAGGTGACCAGATGTCCCGGTTTTGGCGGGACAGTCCGATTTTTAACAATTTTTCCCATGTCACGCGGCATTTTTTAAAAGTCCCAATTAATGCACGACAAGCTAGAGTATATGGTTTTCGGCTGCCATGTGGCTATTTCACCAGGATATAAGTTTTATCGATGGTGTCCCGCTTTACCAATGTTAAAATCTGGTCACCTTAATGTGTGTGTGTGTGTGTGT